TGACTACGATGACCTGGATGACTGAGAACCTTCACAGACGAACACAATTGTAATTAAAATGATCTCTCTTAGGCATTCCTTTTTGTGACAAAATCTTATTTTTCTTGTGTTATAAATCAAATGGACTTAAACCTGTACAGTAGTGGATTTTTCATCCTTTCCGAAGCCTCCCTAGCTCTTCAGTTGAGCTTGAGCTAAGATGGTGAAACTTCTTGTCACAAGGCTCTAAAGGAAGTAAAAGTCTCACACACACAGAGAAGAAATCCAATGCATCTTCTGTATGTGGGCTTCAGTTGGCTGTTTGATAGTAAGGGTTTTACAATGATGATGATAATAATATGATGATATTTAATTGATCCGTATGTGCTCGTATTCTTTTCAGCCCTCGTCCGGCCAGTAAAGGTGTGGAAGGTTTGGCCAGAGTCGGCTCCAGGGCAGCTCTTTCTTTTGCCTTTGCTTTCCTTCGCCGGGCGTGGAGATCAGGTAAGAAGTGCTGAGAGTGAAGATATTTTGTCCTTCGGCGCCGGTGATGATAGGTGCTGTCATGGTGGTGCAACTTTGCTTAACAGCTGCTGAAGAATGCGTTGCGCCACATTAGAAGCTGCTCGTCGTAAACAACCAAACATCTTTCGCAATACTGTGTTTTTAGTCGTGCTGCTAGACGACAGACTGACAGAATAGGGCCAAGGAGGCAATCCTGCTGCTTTGGCACAAGAATGAATCCAAAATAGCTGTTTTGGATGTCGTTAAATGTAACTCTGTCGTCATGCGTGGTCTCCATTACAGGCAGATAAATCAGGATCCAGTGTCTTGCTTTAGTCTCATGTATTATAATAATGATAATTATAATCATCATCATCCTCGGGCTATAAATTCAAAATGACTAATAATATTCAGTTATTAGCTTTTATTTTGATGTAAATTAGTCACAGATTCTGATTACGTTTATTCAAGCGTAAATCTTTGACCATGTTATTCATTCACTCCCTTCATTTTCAGCTTTGCTAGTGGAGGTGTTGTTTTTGTTAACATTGTGAGGGCTTTGTGTCCACGGGGACTGGGTGGGAACAAAGCGCCTGCCTGTCCTCCGTAGCCTTCTTGTAACATGAGCAACACGCACACACGGACACCTCCTATCCCCATTTTAGCCGTGTTCCTGGAAATACTCTTTAGGAACAATGAAGTGTAACACACTTTTTTTTAAAAAAAAAATAAAAAATTGTTTGGGCTTTTTTTGATTGTTTGGATATTATTTTTTTTGTTTGTTTTTTTGGGGTGGGGGGTGGGGGTGAATTTTAATCTCTGTTATGATTCTGCTTCCTTCTGCTTCTGCACACCCTTTTTACTTTGCAGCTGTGAGTTGATCACCTCCCTAGCCCAGTGCTCAAACTCGTTTTGGTCTGACATTACAGAATAGCTCCACGAGAGGAAGTAAATCTTACAAGGATTTCACAGGTGAACCTGTGGAACGATCAATAATGGTCTCCTTATACTCTCAGATCCCTCAGCGTCTCTGACCAGGTCTTTCTTGGGTGATAACAGTTAGTCTTTCAAAGAGCACAGGTCTGCTCTCCCACCACATTGCATCACAGTTATCCTGTGGTGAAGGCAATATGGAAGAAACTGGTGCTTGGTCTTCAAACACGGGTTTTATGTTCAAAATTAGCCACTATTCTGGGCCCAAAACTGCTCTTTTTCAATTAAATTGAGCAGTAACATTTTGAGCGGAAGGAGGTGATATGTAACTACTGTAAGCTTCAAACTGGGGCTCATGTTGGTCAAGGGTTACAGAAACAGGACTTTGGTAGGTGACATCACAGCTTTCTCTCTGAGTGGTCATTAAACACGTGAAGTAAGCCAAATTAAGATATGGATAAACTCTAATGTCGGTAGCTGCGTATTTAAAATCAGATTTTAGCAGCGAGGGGAAGGAGAAAGGAAATAGTTTTAAAGGAATGTCTGAGTTACATTCTTAATCAGAGGTTTTTGTTTCACCGTTTCTTGCCCATAACAAAGAAAACTGGAAATGTCTACATAAGAACAGCTTTACTGTGAGTTCTGCTGTATCAGACTAGAGTCTGTAAACGCTGGGAAGCTAACGGATGTTTACATTGGGCACATTAGCTGATTGCACATATACTGGTTTTCTTATAGTTCTGGGATGCTGCTGTCAGAAATGCCAGTAATCCAGTGAGCCTCAGTTCCTCTCTCACTGGGAGTCCGCAGTTTGGGTCACCTCAGTGTTTAAACTGACATTTTAGACCCTGTTACAACTCTGGTGGCCTGGTTCCTCAATAGTTAAACATTTGAAAGCACTGGAAATTGCACGTCGCTGCAGCTTAAAAAATGCTACAAATGCTCTGTCCTTCTTATTGCTTTATATTTAATCTGTACTGTATAATGTAGCTACTCTGCAGTGTTTTAAACATGAAAATGTTTGTCTTTGCAGGAGATGATGCAGATCTTTGCAGTGAGTTGCTTCAGGAGTCTCTGGATGCCCTGCGAGCGCTGCCCGAGGCGACACTGTTTGATGAGGGAACTGTGTCATCAGTGTGGCTGGAGGTTGTCGAGAGGGCCACAAAGTTCCTGAGGTCTGTTGTTTTATCAGTTGTACATAATGTTTAATCCCAAACTTTTGCAAGATAAATAACATCTCGTCTTATAAATTGCATAACTTTGTGGGATTCTCATCTCTTGTCTCCTTTGTGAACAGTGATGTACATGGAAGTGCCAGCATCAAATGTAACATTCCTCTTCAGGATCAACATCTAGCCTTGGCCATCCTGCTGGAGCTGGCTGTTCAGAGGGGAACACTCAGGTAACCAGATCTCCTTATTACCTGTTTATTTGTTAATGCCAAATCTAACTTTTCTGCTCATCTGTTGTTATGTCCTTCCAGTCAGCTGCTGTCTGCTGTTCTGCTGCTTTTGCGTCTGTGGGAAAGTGGCACCAGAGAGATGGACAACGAGCGCTCCACGCAGGGAACCAGTGCTCCATTACTGCCCCTCCTGCAGCGCTTTCAGAATATACATAGCAGCAAGGAGGAGCCCGTTCCTGAAGAGGAAGCTGAGGTGGAAATTTTCTTTTCCCAGCTGGTTTCTAAAAGAAAATAAGACATGGACTGACTGGAGATTGATTTCAATTTTTATATAATTACCATATCATGCATAAATCATGACACCAGTAAAAGGAAAACAGAGAGAACAGAAACAAATGACCCAACTTGAAGTCTTTCCCTAGCACTGAAATGGAAACGGCCAACTTAAAAGCACCAATTTGTTTGTCAAACTGTCTCAGATATTTCATAAAATTTGCCATAATCAGAAAATTACACAAAAAAATGTAATCCATTCTCAGCTGCTACTAATTCACATAGTTCACACGTCCTGCTGTCCTCTGGGATGCTTTTAAATCTCCTGCCTTCCTCTTCAGACTGTGCTTCTTGTCCAGTTTGCAGTATCAAAGAGCTCAGAACTATATTTTGCTTAATTTGAATATATGTTCTCAAATTGGACTTTTAACAAAATATCTTTCAACCAATATTTCATGATAAACTATTATAATGCACAACCTGTAGTTTTGCCTTTTCATTGACTCTGAATGAATAATAATTCATGTTTTTACATTTAGTGCCAGCCTCCATCTCCAAACAGCAGCTATTTAATCTGCATTAAAAAGCAGTGTGAGGGCAGATGAAAAACTAAATGAAATTCATTGATTTAGAGAGGCAGATCTTTTATATTTATTTTAAACAGGGAGGAGAAAAATTATAACCCTGTTTTAATAAACATCATGCAGGAAAATCGAGACCATAAGAACAGATAAAGTGCTATCGATATAAATTGTGTTGATTCATGTCTCTCTTGGGAACAAGTCTTAAAATGCCCCGTTTTTCTTTTTTTGTTTTTTTCCATCATGGTTGAGAATGAAGCTAATTAATATTTCATGGATCTTTGCTGTGGTTTCCAGATCCTCACAGCCCCTCTGAGTCCAAATGAGAGTTTCCTGCGATACTTGACGTTGCCTCAGGATAATGACCTGGCAATCGATCTTCGTCAGACTGCTGTAGTAATCATGGCTCACCTGGACCGCCTAGCTTCTCCTTGCAGCCCTCCACACTGCAACTCGCCTACGTCACACAAGGTGACCCCTCTTTTTATTAGCTGTCACTGCTGAAGTGTTTGGTTCAGTTGTTTTTACATTTTTAAGTATTACTTAAATCTGTCTTTTTTACGAGCATTATTCAGACCCCCACCTTCAGATTTGAATATGTGACTTGAATATGTGTTGCCTAAGTAGTTAATGCTCAAGCATAAACCAATGCTGTCTTGTTATGTTCCAGGGAACCTTGCAGGAAGTGATTGCCTGGGGCCTCTTGGGTTGGAAACTTTACGCCAACGTTAATGGACCCATTCAGTGCAAAGCCCTGTCGAGCCTCGGGGTCACACAGATTGTCTGTTCAGAAAAGGGGTTTCTTATCCTTTCCAGCAGCGGTGCTGTTTACAGCCAGAACTACAAGAGCACAACCCTGGTCAGTTCTGTCAGTTTCTCTGAGGTCGATCGTTTCATCTCTGCATCTGCAGCAGGTTGAGACTCTGAATTGTTTTGTTGCAGGCTCCCATGCTAATCCACGTTCTAAGCTCCAGAAAGATTGTGAAACTTGCAGCTCATCCTGACGGGCAGCATTACTTGGCCCTATCGTCCAACGGGGAGGTGTTCTCCTGGGGGTGCGGTGATGGTGGCCGGCTTGGACATGGAGATACCACGTAAGCAACCAGAGAAAAAACATGTCCATCCTTTAAAAAGGCTTACACACATTTTGTGCTTCCACCTTTTTTGGGGGGGTGGGGGTGGGGGGGGTGTTGTATTAGTGGAGAGTATGTAGTACAGACATACAGCAAAGGACATCAGGTTGGACTTGAACTCGAGCTGCTGCATTTTCAGCCTTGTGACCGTCGCTGTTATATTATCACTTTATTACACTGAATGTGTTTGTCTATTACAGATATAACAGTGGAGTTGTAGGTTTTTGGAGCATTAAATTTGATTTTGAAGATCTGTTTAAGTTAAATTATTGATGAAACAGGTGGTGAAGAAATGCATTGCATTATTTCCTAAAATCTGGGACATTTCTATTCATGTTTTGTGCTCGTAGGCCAGAGACAGAATCAAAGGCTTCTGATGATAGAGTGAAATCCCCCAACCCTGCCAGTTCATTTTAAAAGAATCTGTGTTATTAGTAAAATCATAATGAAAATAAAAATATAAATGATAATTATTAATGGTAATGAGCTTCCTGAAAAATTTAGCCTTCTATTTTTACTTTATTTCAGATACCTAGAAGAACCTAAAATGATTGGAACCTTCAATGGAAAACAGGCCGGAAAGCATGTGGTGCATATTGCTTGTGGGAGCACATACAGTGCTGCGATCACTGCTGATGGCGAGCTCTATACATGGGGAAGAGGGAACTATGGTCGGCTTGGCCACGGTGAGCTCCAAATGAACTGCCCCTGATAGATATTCTTCACTTTTTTTTGGTCTCTTTGTCTTTACTAAAATTAGTTGTAATCTGTTGGGGTTTCTAGGCTCCAGTGAGGACCAGACTACACCCATGGTAGTGACGGCATTCAAAGGGCTGAAGGTGGTGGATGTGGCATGTGGGAGTGGTGATGCCCAAACTCTTGCTGTGACAGAGAATGGTAAGCATGCTTCCTGTGGGTGATTAAAAATGCTGGAATTAAAATCCAGGAATTAATGTTTTTAAAATGTCTGTTAGTTAAATAATTGAAATGTACCCCCCTCCTCCCAAAAAAAACCCCTTTAAAGTTTCATGTGAATTGCTCAGTGTTGTTGTGTCCGACCTGTGTCACCTGTTACAGATCCATTAGCAACAGTAGCGGCTGGTGTGTTTCTTGCTTCTTGGTAGCCAGCATATCAACCATTTTTAGCTTGATTTTTGATCATAGAAGCCGCTAGAAATTACCCAGGCTACAGCTACAGTTTAGCTCCTCAATCTGTTACCACAGGTCAGGTGTGGTCCTGGGGTGATGGAGATTATGGTAAACTGGGCCGAGGAGGCAGTGACGGCTGTAAGACGCCCAAGCTGGTGGAGAAGCTGCAGGATCTGGACATAGTAAAGGTGTGCTGCGGAAGCCAGTTTTCAGTAGCCCTCACCAAAGATGGGCAGGTGTACACCTGGGGGAAGGGAGACAACCAGCGCCTTGGTCACGGCACCGATGAGCATGTCCGATACCCAAAGCTGCTTGATAGTCTACAGGGTGAGTGAGCTTGACCTTAACATTGATTTTCAGAAGCTTATTTAAAAAAAAACAAAAGAAAAACAACAAACGCATTGTTTGCAATCAGGAAAGAAAGTTGTGGACGTAGCTGTGGGGTCGACACACTGCTTGGCCCTCACTGATGATGGAGAGGTGCTCAGCTGGGGCAGCAATGACAAGCTACAGCACTTTGATACGCTCTTTTCCAATAAGAAGCAGCCTAAAGCTCTCCCGGGGCTCAACTCCAAACACATAGTTGGAATCTCCTGTGGACCCGGGCAGGTAAGATACCATCACTGTTGGTCTCATAATGTTAGTAAAGAACGAGACACAGATCAGTTACCATTTGCTTGTTTTCAGAGCTTTGCCTGGTCCTCGAGCTCCGAGTGGTCTGTGGGGAAACGTGTGCCCTTTGTGGTGGATGTTTGCCCCATGAGTTTCGAGCAGTTGGACTTGCTCCTGCGGCAGGTCAGCGAGGGCATGGATGGCAGCTCAGACTGGCCCCCTCCGCAGGAGAAGGAGTGCATGGTAGTCGCCACACTCAACCTGCTCAGGCTCCAGGTAGGAAACGGCCTTTGAACGGGTGTGGTTTGATTGGAAATGCTTGTAGAAGTAGAATTTTTTCCTCTGCATATTTGTTTCGTGATGGAGCAAATTATCTGATATTAAGTCTATATCATACAATATTACTGGAGAGTGGAACAGAATTGTTATGGTGTGTACATTCTGTTTTTGAACAGCAGTTCTGTTTTTTCCACATCTGCATTTACTTTTTAATTAACATTAATAACTTTGCAGTGGAAGAAGACTCCATCTCTTTAGTAAGAATTTCACTTTGTGTGGGGTTTTTTTGATAGTCGGGCCTGAGTCATGTCATGGTGGACTTGGTTCAAATTTTCTTGACATGCTTAAAGGGATGATTCAGTGAAAAGTCCAAATTTGTCTTAGACTTCCCCAAATTATATTTATTTATTTATTTTTCTTTTTTTGGTCATACTTCTGTCCTGTGGTTCCCATTTTAAAGATTAAATGATCAACGAACTGAACAATCAAAGAAATGAAAGGAAATAATAATTTATTGCAGCCCTAAACCTTCACTGTTTTTCCTCAGTTGCATGCAGCCATCAGCAATCAGGTGGATCCAGAGGAGCTGGGGCTGGGCCTTGGAAGTGTGCTGCTCAACAACCTGAAACAAACAGTGGTGGTGCTAGCTAGCAATGCTGGGGTCCTCAACACAGTTCAAGCAGCTGCCCAGGCTGTCCTCCAGAGCGGCTGGTCCGTGCTGCTACCCACAGCTGAGGAAAGGGCAAGGGCTCTGTCCTCACTCCTGCCTAATGCTGGTCAGTACAAATCAAAACATCTGGTAACACTGATTCAGTATGAAAATGAACATTTAATAGTCCATTACCTGTGATCAGTTTGATGGAAGTGCCTGCAAAGGCTGAGTTTTTAATTTTTATTTTCTAGCATCTGGAAATGAGATGAGTGTGAGTCCCGGCCGGCGCTTCATGATTGACCTGTTGGTCAGCAGCTTAATGGCTGATGGAGGGTTGGAGTCTGCACTCAATGCAGCCATCACTGCTGAGATACAGGTCAGTGTAGTAAATGCATGAGTCAGCACTTGGTTGTCTGTTTGAAATGCTGAGTAAATTCTCTCTTGACTGATATTTGTATATGGGACACAAGGCTCACCCATTTGTTGGCACCCCCGGCACAGAATGCCAGTGCAATGCAATTTTATTTATTTATTTTTTTCAGTGTGAAAAGTGGCAGCAGAAGTTGTAGCTGGAAGTGCATAGAAGGAAACAATGGTACCTTATGGGCCTTTGACAGTTGAAGGCTGTGTTGCCACAATACGTAATTGCATTTCTGGGGGGGTGCACATCAGGTTACAGCGCAGTGTTTCAAAAGCACTTGTAATTACAATTTGCCTGTGGCATACATTTAACAAAGTCTAAATCCCACTTTAGAGCACACATGGACAAAATCTGTGACCAAGGACCAGAACCAGCCCATCGAACATCTCCATGTGCTCCCTGACATCCTAAATGATGGTAATAATTTTGTGTATTATATATTTTTTTTCATGATAGGACATTGAAGCAAAGAAGGAGGCTCAAAAAGAGAAGGAGATTGATGAACAGGAAGCTAATGCCTCCACCATACACCGGTGTCGCACCATGCTGGACAAAGACCTCATCAACACGGGCATCTATGAGTCGGCAGGGAAGCAAAGCTTGCCCCTTGTGCAGCTCGTACAGCAACTCCTGAGGTACCTTCACAAATTGTGCTGCACATACTCCTATAATGTGGTATAATACCTCACTCCCTGCTAGCATATTCATGGATTTAACTTCTGCAGAAACATCGCCTCCCAGACCATTGCAAGGCTAAAAGATGTTGCTCGTCGCATCTCAAATTATTTGGAGGCAGAGCATGTCAGTAAGGAGCGCTCTGCATCTCTGGACCTACTGCTGCGCTTCCAGAGGCTGCTGGTCAGCAAGCTTTACCTGGGAGTCAATGGCACAGAAAATGTTAATGGATACAGTAAGTCTCTTCTAGCTCTTTAGTTTGTGTAGACAGAGGTTACAAGCAAAGCAGTGCTGTCTCAGTGAGGTGGACAGTGAGGCTCATATGCATCCAATGTGTGGTTTGGCCATAAATCTGACATCAACCTAACCTGATGTGCCTTCTGCTCCAACCAGCTTATTGGTTCGGCACTGTGCCCGGTGTCCAAACATGCATGGAATGAGTGCTTTTGACTTTGTCAACTATCTCATATCTATTGAAATGTTATTTCACAGTAATTGTTTTTATGGTTTTAGTCCCCACCTCTAAGAATGAGTTGCAGAAAGGCAGTGTGTGATTTCTCTGGTGCTTTTCTAGATCCTGAGCTCCTGGGTGTTGGTTCCTTGTTAAAAAAGTACATCGCTTTGTTGTGCACTCACATTGGAGACATCCTCCCAGTGGCAACAAGTATCGCTTCTACTGGTTGCCGCCACTTTGCCGAGGTCTCTCGTGTCATCGAAGGAGATCTAACTGGTAAAAAAATAAAATAAATTCCCTCAGATTTGTATTTCCAGCATATTTATGCTTTAGAGATGTTTGCAACACAGTACTGAATACTGTACTGTTTGTTCTTTGGTAGGAGTGCTTCTCCCTGAGCTGGTGGTGTCCATCATCCTTCTCCTCACCATTGACGCTGGTCTGATGCAGGAGACCGGCTCAATCCCTCTCCTGGCTGGACTCCTGGAACACTTGGACCGTTTCAACCACCTGGCTCCAGGACACGAGAGGGACGATAATGAGGATCTGGCCTGGCCAGGAATTATGGGTAAAACAACATCTATGTTTTACTTGAGTGACATCCTAAATTTTAGGGAGAAGATGAGATGCTACTCTGTGCGTTTCTTTTTAGACTGTAACTAGTAGGGATGGGTATCGTTTAGGTTTTATCCGATACCGGTGCCAAAC